TTAGTTGTTTTTCGATCAAACCAAAATCATACATAGGATAGTAAATGAGCCTTTGGTAAGACCAAACACATGCAACTTTAGGGGTACTAAACACATTTGTAACAGAACCACATACGCTACGTAAACCTTTAGTACACATGGTATTGGTTAAATGGAGCCATTTTCCAGACTTTTCATGTTCATTTTGTAAACACTGGCCTTGCTCTTTCATTCTTTAAATTTTAGGAGTATTTTTGCCTGACTAAACAGCCACTGACTTAAAAATCAAACTTCTGTCTTCAAAACTATTTACCTACTATTGTGATGAGTAACCTCCAAAGTAACTGTAACTGAAAGAGATCAGAGAAAATAGTTTATTTGTGTATTTGAAACAGTTTCATGGTTTTTCCTATAGGAGGGATGCCTACTGTTTGTGTGGATCTTTCTCACAGCAACAAGGGAAAGAAAAGCACTTTGAATAATAAAAATGTGATTATACAACAGTGTTCCCCAAACTTTTTCTATCATGTCTCCCCCTTACCTGGTCCATGCCCCCCGGAAGCCAAGGTGGGGAGGTGAGTAGGGTGGGGGGAGGGGGTGGGGAGTGAGTGGGGGAGCCATGCTCCAGGGCTGGGGGAGGTGAGTGGGGCAGGATGGGGGAGGGCAAGCTGTGCTCTGTGGAGTGGGGGTGAGTGGGGCAGGACAGGGGAGGGGGAGCCCCGCTTCAGGAATGGGGGAGGGGGAGCTGTGCTCGGGGCAGGATGGGAGAACCGGCAGTACCTCTCTTGCTGGAGCCATCCCTGAGTGCTTCTCCAGACGCTGTTGCTCTTCCTGCCCCCAAGCAGCAGAGGCCAGTTACTGTGAGTAACCGGACTTTTAGTGTCCGGTCAGCAGTGTTGACTGGACATTGCCAGGCCTCTTTCTGACCTGAATTTCAGATTGAAAACTGGGCATCTGCAATGCTAAGCTGGCACCAGGGGCTGAGGCTGGGAGGGGAGCTGCAGTTGGGGCTGGGGCCAGGGCTGGAGCAGAACTGGGAGCAGAGCGTGGCTGTCCTGGGTATGCCATGCGCCGCGCGCACCCCTTCTCCCCTCCCCGGGTTATTTTTTAAATTCCTTTGATTTCCAGTTGAGAATGCCCTTTTAATTGTAATTAGGCCGAAATAAGGAGTGCAGCTCGTGCTTATTGTATCTTAATACTGTGCATGTTGAGAACATTGAATGTACAATAAAATATTTTCTGTAGGTACTGGTAGTCTAGAATTTCTGGACATACCAATATTAGCATGTAGAAATGAGAGCCTTAAACCAGCAAGAAGTTAATTGTCTTTTGCTCTCAAATAGTTCTCCAATTGCCCACTTGAACATAAGTGGCATTCTGTTATTGCTTACTGCGCTGATGCTAATTTTGATTAGCTGAGAATTGGTGTGGAACTTCCATTTTAATTTAGCAGTGTTGTAGTAGTAGTGTTGGTCCCAGGATATGAGACACAAGGTGGGTGAGGTGATATCTTTTATTGGATCAGCTTCTGTTAACCTGGGTTGTGGCTGTTCTGTGACCCCTCTGATGGAGGATCACACAATGCAGAGAGGAAGTTAATGATGTTTTGAGCAGCATTAACTAATATCCATTTTCTTTTGAATCTGGGCTACCTTGCAATAGAAACATTGCTGGTAGGGCTTCTTTAACCTGCCTCTACTCCATGCTATCCCTGAGCCTTTTTTTCAAGTAACCCATGAGCTACACAGAGTTCGTGAAGAGTGCTTTGGTGACAAGTATTTGGAGAAGTAAAGTATAGTAGAGTACTTTTCTTCATTATTTGCCCCTACCATTCATGTAGATCCCTTGCACTGCTTCCACAGGACTTAAGTGGTTTTTGCTTCCTTCCATGCTACCAACAGAGGGGACATACAAGGTTTAGTCATTAGAATTCATGGTCATCCATCAGTATTTTCCATTTTACAAAAAAGGCCAATCCTATGGGACTCTAGTAATGGGGATATGCAAGACAAGTTAGTGAATTTCTGTTAAATTAACTTCCATTGTCTATAAAATGTAATATGTTTGAAATTTCTGTGTGGAAGAATATGTAATACAAAAGCTTTATAAAGACTCTCTGAAGCAGGCATAAAATTTCTACTCTGGAGTGTTAAATTAGAAATTTTGAGGGCCTTGATATGTAAATAGGTAGCTAGCTATTACCAGCCATTTCCATGTATGCTATAAAATCTGAATTGGGGAAACGTATTTATGGGTGCGGGGAGCCTCTCCCTTATGGAACGCCACAGGAGGGGAGAGGGCATGATCTGTGCTCTGCCACAGCCCCTGGTTAGTTTGCAAGGATCATCACAGTCTCCAAATGGCTTGAAAACAGTACAGGAAGTCTGTGCAGAGAGTAATTCTGAAATATTTTTTAAAAGAAATTCCCTGGGGAAAAACCATTATTAACCTAAAGTTAAGGTTGAAAGAATCTGTCCCTTACATCATCCAAACAACTTTGTAAGAAAAGTAAGAATTCTACTTTACAGCCCTCCAAATTTATTCAAAAAGTACAAATGTATTGTTGAGTTTATCCAAACACCCTTAACTTTACATCAGAGCACCACCTTGAGCATGATCACAAACTGAGACAATCTTACCTGGTCATCACAAGTTCATGTCGTCAGTGACTGTAAAATATAGAAAGCCAAATTATTTTCTAGTGCAAATGGGCAAAATTCCACTGATGTCAGCTTTGTTTCCCATTTATACCATCAGAGAATTTGGTCCCAATGCCTTATTCGTAAATCATCCAGCGCTGGTGCCAGACAGTGATCTTTTTTTATGGTCCATCTGATTTTAAAAATTCCTGAACAGACAAGTAGCATATTGAAAGCAGTTTTACTTAGTTATTAAAAAAAATTCCACACAACTCTTTCTCAGCGAGCATATTTATTCTTAAGGTAAAAGCATTACAGAGAAAACACCTCCACTAGGGCTTTGGTTGGTGTCAGTCCTTCCAGTCTTTCCCTGTGGATTGGGGCCCTGCCCTTTGACAGAAGGTCCTGTCTGTTTGCTAGATCAGAGCAAAGGCTCTTGGTAATTTAAACCCAGGTTATTTATCCAAAAGTGCTTTTGTTGTCTGCTGGTCTCTAGGGTATCCAGTTCGAACCACTATATGCAAGTCTCTCCAAATGGTGGTGCCCCTTCAGAGGTTTTACAGCCTGAATGAATTTGCCTAATTATACCTCCCCCCGCAAACTCCCCCGCTCCCCCCCCCCCCGGCGGCCCATGGAATTACATACAATCCCTGGTCCACAGTGATACATTCACTTAATACAGTAAGATATAACTTAATTCAATAAGGCTTATCCAGGATATTGCAAGAAATTGCCATATCTGTCACAGGGAAGATTTATGAAACCAGTTACAAAACCAATGATTTGTGCTTTTTTCGGTAGCCCAGGGGCAAAAAAATGCAGAAAACTGGGAGGCTAATGGCAGTATGGTTACTGTATCAGGGGGGTTGCAAAATTTATGATGTCCTGGCCATAACCTGAGCACATCTTGAAACTGGTTTAAAGAGGGGGGAAAAAGTCTAAACTAAAAATTGATTGATCAGAAAATAAATTGACAAAAGTGTTATAAAAGGAAGAAGAGAAGATGGAAGGCTGACCACGTAACGAGTTGAGTTAATATTCTTTGGATGATTTTAACTTTGCATTTGTACACTTTTGAATGTGTGGAATTTTCATTTATTTAAATGTGATGTGGGAGATTAAATTTGAATTTCCAAGTTTTTTAATATTGGCATATTAGGAAAAAAACTAGAGCAGTCTCAAGCTTTTTGCCATAAGCAAATGGTATGTTCTTTAAAGCTTAATTCTAGGTTAAGACTTTTGAAATAGAGAGGATCCCACTTAACTTTCATACTATAAACTGACTGACTATTTTTGAATTAATTTTAAGTGCAAATGACAATTCCTGATACAGTGAACTTTAACTTGATAGTGAATTTCTGTAGGAAAAAAGGACTTAACTGCTGGAGTGTTCCTCTATATTTAGGCTGAGTGATAGATGTGGAGAAATCAAGACGTCTTCATTTCTTTAAAAACAATGAAAAAAGAGTCTGTTTTGTTACATTTCTTGAGGGGAGGCTTCTCTACAAGCAGAGATTTTAAGAGGAGTCTTTGTTCTGCCGGTATAAATATTTCAGACATTATAAATACTCTGAATAACAGTATGTGGAAGTCTTCACTTCTTCAGAGTATAACTTGAAAGGTAATCCCTTGGCTGTGGTATTAGGTGGATTACAGTGATTTGCATAATATGTGCAGTCTCATGAGAGGAATACTAACCTGAAGACTGAAGGCAGTTCTTAATTTCTGGTGTCAGTGGCCTCACCAGAGCCTTGTTCACTGGAATGCTTGATGCTGTTGCTGGCATTGTGTAATATGAAGCCTGCAGGCAGAATCAGCATGAACTTTAAGAAAATGGTTGAGGATTATATAACCGTTTAAAAAAGGCAGGGTTGACCATACAGGAATATGAAGAGTAATGCATATAAAAGCTCTAATATAAGAGATTTTAAATAAGTTAATTTTGAAATGTTTCTAGCAACTCCAGTGGAACTGAGCTGAAGTAAATTGGATGAGTTTAGAAGGCTTTGGCAATCATAATACACAGTCTGTACTGTACAGAGTTCACCTTTCAGTAGTTTGTGGTGTTTGTCTGCTGTCAATACTCTAAATTAAACACAAGTTTTATTAAGGGATTTCTGTTGCAGTTTTTTCCCATGCAGTATAGAATCTCGTAGTAAATAACTAAAACAGATGAGCAGGATGTCAGAGATCAGGAATTACATTTAGGGCCTGGTACTGCATGCCTTACTCAGGCAAATCTGACACACATACAATGGGAAAGCATGCTTTCAGTATGAATAGCACATAGGAGATAGATAGATAAATAAAAGCATATATGTGGTGGTGTTTTGTTTTTTGAAATGAAGCAACCGCATTATTTTTGTGTTCACTCTTTTTAAGGTCTTGGATCCAGAACAAAATCATAGCTTCACCGATCACTACTTAAATGTAGCCTTTGACCTGTCCCAAGTCCTTTTTATAGCCACAGCCAACACTACTGCTACCATCCCACCAGCTCTGTTGGACAGAATGGAGGTCATTCAGGTTCCAGGTAACACTTAAGTGCTTTGACTAAAATGATTGCTTTTTCCCTTCAAAAAAATGTACTCTTGTAAGACTAGCACCACAGAAAATTAGAATCCGTTGCCAAGACTTTCTACAGCAACTAATTAATTTGATTGCCTCCATTTTTGGGTGTCCATCTTGAGACTCTGTCAGAGGTCCTGATTTTCAGTGTGGGGGATGTTCAAGGTTTCACTTTTGAAAATCTAGGCCTAAGTAGGTGACATAGTTTGTGACAGATGCAGTACTGTGCAGTCTGTGAAGAACTTTAATGAATGGATTGTTGTGTATCTGTCCTATCCTGCTGTCAGCTAATAGTTTCTTCACAAGAGAGAGTTTTTGCTTTGCAGCAGGAAGATTGGAGTTCTATCCATGTTGAATGGCCACTGCAGGGATCATAGTGACATCCATTAAATTCTAGCTGGCCACAGATCTGTGGATGTGTACAGCTAGATACTTCATTGAAATGTGCACTGATCTACACAGAAAAAGCTCCTCCTGAGTGCCCGCTAATTCTTGTGGGGAAAGGAATCTCTTGGTGGTTTTATTTTTGTTACGTTTTACATTCTGATACTTTTTACGTGGCAATACAGAGCCAATTTTCAAGAGAGTCTCAGTTTACTCTCTAAGACCTCAATCCAGCAAATTCATATGTGCATAACTTTACTCATATAAATCCCAGTAGAATTGTTTGGGTGAGTAAACTCTCACACGTGCATGTTTGCAGGATTGGGATCTGATTTTGCATCTGAAATCTTGTAGGTTTGAATGAAGATAATTCTGGTATCCAGCTGCCAAACTTGAATGTGTAAGAGCTACTTGTAACCAAAAATCAGATATCTGATTCAATTATGTTTGTTGTATATAACATAACATATTCCATAAACATACTGTGTAAACATAGTTACACCTGTAATTGACTGTGCCTGTGAAATTAGAGGCTTTTTTCAAAATTATGCCCTGGATGATCATAGTAAATAAATAAATGATTGTTCTCGTATTATCAGCAGAGTAACTATAGAGTATATGGACAGATGTGAAGTTTCCCCATAATATACTTCAGAAGCATTTTCTGCTTTCATTGATTGTTCATTCCATCTGGCATGGCAGAAACCAAACCTTTGGAGTCTCTCAATCCAAGGCCTGATCTAAGCAAAAATCAGCAATTTTTACAGAGTATGCTTTGGAAATTTAAAACAACTGTCTAGCTGGACAAACAATTCACCTTGACTCCTGGGATTATTTGAGTTTGAGAGTGATTTTGAATATAATTCAGTAAACTAGCTCCTTACTTTGTTAAATTTTCTCAGTTTTTCATTTAATTTAGTAAGAAGTTTGACGTCCTGGTACAGTATAGGTAAGAAGATGAATGAAATGCTTTCTTTTGAAGGATATACACAAGAAGAGAAGATAGAAATTGCACATAGACACTTAATCCCTAAACAGCTAGAACAGCATGGGTTGACTCCTCAGCAGATTCAGATTCCACAAGTAACTACTCTGGACATCATCACCAGGTAAATGTGCTGTTCGCTACTTTTAGGCTCTAGATTACTTTTCTTGTGGTACATTAATAGAAATTTTTTAATGTGACACCATAAAGCATTTCCACAAGATTCGTGAGGAAGGGATTCCTTTGTAAACTGAATAGTTAATGGTATAGAATATTCCAGTTGTTTTGCTGTCATAGTGTCACAATATGCACAATTGTTTATAAACTTGCTTCTAGCAGGTCACCTGCTGCTTTTTGTTTTAGCGGAAGATTTGTTTATGCCTAGGTTGGAAAATCCTTGTCAGTGTCACTAGTGTAAAGAACCACTGTCTTAATCTACTACCTGTTGCATGTTTGTAGAAACGTGGTTTACAAAAAAAAATAAAAGTTTAAATATGAGAAAGTCATGTACATAATTTTCCACTACTTTTTAATACCTCTGATGCAAAATGCTCCAGATATATATTAAGGTTATAAAATTAATACAGAATAGAACATATATCCATAAGGGGATTAAGTTAGGGGGTTGCTGTGGGCTACATAACTTTGAATTTCTTGACTTGTTTTGGATATTAAAATTGCACCTGCACTAGGACCAGCAACACAGATGGGATAGGATGGTACAAGGAACCTACCTCCCACCTCAGCTTTGCGCACGCCACTCAAGGATGAGGGATGATCACAGTCCCTATGTTTAGAGGTGCGCAAAAACTACACACGTACTTCTGTAGATGAAAATTTTGCACGAGGGTGGAGCGATACAGAAGATCACTCCACATTGGCCTGCATAAATGGTAGAGAAGGTAGCAGGCTACACTATCCACTTTACACTGCAGAAAGAGGAGAAAGGCCATGACAGGGACTGGAGAGGATGATCTGGGGTGTGTGAGAAGACCTGATCTCCTCTCTCCTTCCTCTGAGTGGCAGATCAAAAGAATGCCAGGTAGGAAGTGCAAAGGAAGTCTTGCAGAGGGCAGCAGCCTGGAGCACTGTAGACCATGGTCAATAACATACATAGTGAGCTCCCTTGCACCTCCCCCCCCCCCCATCTCCACCACTTTCTTTGAAAGGTAAGTTTGATCTTCTGCCCGAAGTTCCTGTTCGAGGGACGTCACAAGTGCTCTTCCCATTTCTTCCCCAGCAGCGTATTCCTTACTTGGGAGAAAATGTTTTCTCCCTGCCTTCCCTGAAACTGCTCCTGGTCTCTTGCATCAAGAGTTGGTCACAGGTCTGCTGTGTTTTCCTCTGCTGTCTTCCCCAGTACTTGTGCAGATTTTCTGAGTAGGTGTCAGACACAGGTGCTCCTTTCTCCCTTTCCCTGCTCAGATTAGGGATGTTCCAGCATCTTCTTTTAAACTAGAAACAAAGAAAAAGCTACCATTGAAAATGTATCTATAGAGCAATAGGATTGGGGGGGGGAGTTGATGTGTTTAAGTGAAACAATCATTGATGATGCTCTGCTTTATAGACTTTAATCTAGAGTAAAATATTTTCCTTGTGGTAGATACACTAGAGAGGCAGGAGTCCGCTCTTTGGATCGGAAATTTGGAGCTATTTGCAGAGCAGTGGCTGTGAAAGTGGCAGAAGGACACCACAAGGAGACAAAGCCAGATCGCTCTGAAGTGACTGAAGAAGGTTTGTGTTCCTTTTCCATACTTCATCAGAAAGTAGATTCATGGTGGTATGTTTGAGAAGTGCCTCCAGTACTAGGGGCCTGATTCACCACTGTCTTACTCTATAGAGTTTTTTGTCTCTGTAACTGCATTGTTTTAAAATGCTTTTCAATGGAATAACACCTTTGAAAACTGGAGTGACTCGTGGTGAATCAGGTCCTGGAACATGTGTTGTAGGGCACAATCCCACTCTGCTAGGAAGATTAACTGGGTAACGAAATAGGCCTTTTTCATCTCCAATATCTGTGATTAAATTTGTATATGGTTTTCAGTCACTCAGATCAGGTTGTTAATGTAAACAAACTTTCACGCATCCCTTTTTGCTCTTCATGGAACGTAAACTTTTCAACCAAAGATTGAACTATGGCCTGGTTCTAATTTTTGTGAAGTTTTTTATTTATTGTTCCATCTCTATACCCAGAACACTCTGTTAGTTCATAAAAAGAAAAGGAGTACTTGTGGCACCTTAGAGACTAACCAATTTATTTGAGCATGAGCTTTCGTGAGCTACAGCTCACTTCATCAGATGTTTACCGTGGAAACTGCAGCAGACTTTATATACACACAGAGAATATGAAACAATACCTCCTCCCACCCCACTGTCCTGCTGGTAATAGCTTATCTAAAGTGATCAGCAGGTGGGCCATTTCCAGCACAAATCCAGGTTTTCTCACCCTCCACCCCCCCACACAAATTCACTCTCCTGCTGGTGCTAGCCCATCCAAAGTGACAACTCTTTACATAGTCAAGTCGGGTTATTTCCTGCATAGATCCAGGTTTTCTCACATCCCCCCCCACCCCCATACACACACAAACTCACTCTCCTGCTGGTAATAGCTCATCTAAACTGACCTAAATCCAAGTTAAACCAGAACATATGGGGGGGGGGGGGAGTTAGGAAAAAACAAGAGGAAACAGGCTACCTTGCATAATGACTTAGCCACTCCCAGTCTCTATTTAAGCCTAAATTAATAGTATCCAATTTGCAAATTCATTTTGCCCTGACTCTTGCACCCCCCACATTCCCACCCCCGCCCTGAGCACCAAACGGGAGCTCCTGCACCCCCCCACCACACACACACATTCCCACCTGGACCCTCGCACCAACTGGGAGCTTCTCAGCTAGGCACTCCACACCCAAACCTCCTGCCCCAACCCTGCGCCCTCTTCCTCATTCTAGCTCCTGGCCAGACCTTGCACCCCAGCCTGCTCCTTCACCCCAAGCCCTGTGCTCAGTGCACTCCCACCCTCAGCTCTGTGCAGAGAGAGAGAGAGGAAGGGAATGGGCTAGAACCATGGAGAAGGTAGGTACCCATTCTATGTGGGCAGACTGGCAGCGGGCTGAGCGGGGCCGGCAGCCGGGACCCTGGCTGGCAGGAGCTGGTGGACGGAACCCCAGACTGGCAGTGGGCTGAGTGGCAGTCTGAGTATTTCCTAAATAAGAACAACAGGATTTGGCTTAGAAATGTGGTAGTTTTCCAGGTGTGCTATAACAGGGGTTTTGCATCTCAAGAATAACGTCCATTTTATATATATATATAATATAAAAATATTTTTCTGGTAACCAGGTCCATTATTCATGCCTGGTAGAACCCTTTTTATTTTAAAAAAAAAAGTGAGAATTGGTCTGTCATGGAAAAATAGCATGAAGAATATGAAAATCAGATTTGAGTCAGTAAACTTGGCTTTCCAAGTGATGTATACAGTCATTGTCTCAGCATTCTTTTCTGTAGTAAACCCTGATAATTTTAGAGATGACTATACAAATACTTGATAAGAGAATTGGTGAGAGCTTGAAAACGATTTCTTGTCTATAAATTTGCTCTCACTTCACTTTTAGCATTTTTCTCATGCTTTGGAAATTAATAATAGCTTGCCGTTAGTCATGTGCTTATCCACGACCTGACATCTTGCTAAGAGTCCGTTTTTCTCCAAACGTCTTTCTTAGCCAACTTTTTGTTTGTCATTTATGATAGCAGATAGACTAATTAGGACCAAAAGCAATAACCACAGATGGAAGTTATACAAGGTACAAGTTGTAGCTGTGGAATAGCTGGAAACCTAAAACAGTCTGTGATTATCCTGTCTTATTTGAGAAAGGTAAAAAGATCAGTTTTTTAAAGCATTTCAGTGTTCATATTAGCAGTACTATCAATATTTTTTTCGCTATTTTAAAAAACTTCAATACCTGCCCATCTGCTTTGTTACTGAAAAGAGAGTTTATCTAGACTAGAGTATATTGAGGCTGAACAATGGAAGAGGGAGAGAGCAACCTTTATTTTTGGCAAGCCATTTACTCAGATAAGAGCAGATTACAAGCCTGTCAAGTATTATCAGCAGGGTATGTTGTTTTAATTTCTTTTGGTTCTTAAAACTTCTTTGCTTTTTGGATTCCAGCCATAAGCGTTTAGTCAAATCAAGGTGGTGGAAGTTGTCAGAGTAAATTGCACTGGAGAAACCATTCTGCAGTGAATGCAGGCTCGGGGCAGGATGGTAGAGAATACTACTCTTACAGTAGTTGAAACATATGATTAACTCAAACTGCTTGAACTTTTATCTAATTTCCAGGCTTTTTTTTACTACTTAGTTTTCCATTGGCACCAGTGATGTTGATGCAGCTATTGCTAGCCGCTGGCATTGTGACAATTTTTCCTCTCAAACTGGACTAGAGGGTGACGCCAACCCCTGTAAAGTCTAATATTTTGTTCTGTCTGTGTCCTCTCTTTTTGTTTTGTTTAAAATTGTTTTATGTTCTTTACTTCAACATCCCTTTGTAAGAGGAAGTACAAATAAAGTTTGGTTGTGTCTTTGCCGTGGGACAGGATGATGAAGCTTTGAGAGCAGGCATTTTGTGTCTGTGTTGAATGTCATCTTTCCAATAGGGATATGGTAGAAAAACATTGTAAAAAGTAGACCTTCAGTGGGCTTTACTACATGCCTCGTGACTTTATCTCTTTGCCACTTTTCTGTTCTCCGGAGCAAAAATTTTTGCTTTCTTCCTAGATTGCTAAGTAGCATAATAGCTTATACCACTCACAATAATACCTTGCTCCTGTATAACAGTTTTCATCAGTAGATCTCAATGCTATTTACAAAGAAGGTAAGTACCATTATCCTCATTTTACAAATGGAAATGGAGGCACAGAAAAGTGAAATGACTTGTCCAAGGTCAGCTAGCAGGCCAATGGCAGAGCTGGGAATAGAACTCAGGTATCTTGATTCCCACCCAACTGCTTTATTCACTAAACCATACTGCCCCTCTAATAAAAATACATCCTCCTTAAAATATCTCTATCCAGTAGTAAATGTTAAAATCAGCTGCTCATTCATAGGGTTTTTAAGAGTTTTTTCATGTCTTCTCACCATTTATTTTTGCTTCTGAAATAATATCCCTTGGATAAGAAATACCAGTAATAACCACACAAGTGACCTGTGCCCCACGCTGCAGAGGAAGGCGGAAAACTCCCAGAGCCTCTGTAATTTCTGGATTCATGAAAAATGTTTCATTATTTTTCAAGGCTTCTGTGATGTTTTGGGATCCACCCAGATCAATAAGGGATTCTGTCATCAGTTGCCCTGTAACTTTGGGGGCCTTTGTGCTGTGCAGCTATGATTCAGTAACCTGACACCAAAAGCCTTCCCACAAGCAAAAGGTCTAACCCTGGCTCTCACTAGCCTAGTTACTCTTTTCAGGGTGACACCAACATCCCGTCCAGTACCAGGTCTCACCAAATATGTTCTTCCTGAGTTTTTAAGTACAAGATACTCAGACCGTTCCCCTCTGGTTCATCACCCCGCAAGGCGTGAAACCAGCCACCCAATTATCAGTTCTCTTTGGCATTCACACTCCACACAGTTTGTGCACTAGAAACCTGCTTGGGATAAAAATAGTAAAGTTTATTTAATAGAAAAACCACAGATTCAAAGATGAAATAGTAGGGGGAGAGCAAACATATATAAGTTATGTAGAAAATAAACATAACCTCAGGCTTTACAGTTTTTGTAAAGTTGCACCACAGTTATAATTTTCTATATATGCACACATATCTTCACAACCATAACATGTATAGATATCTCATAATGACTAGTAAGTTCATTGCATTACAGGCGTTCATAAAAGATTTTACTCAATATATTCTTACAGTTAAATAACACAGTATGCTATCAGTTGGTTTAACTGCTTATTTCTGGGGGGATTAAATCTTCTGTTCTCCCTTGTGGTGTCTGGACCCTGATTATCACAACTTCTAATGAAACAGTTAAAAACTAGCTTAATAACATCATATATTATAAATTATTTACTGTTAGTTTGCAGAACAAAAAAGGAGTTGTATTAGAAAGTTGAAGTAATCCAGTAAGGGAGTTATTTACAGTGTAAAATTAGTGCTGGACTTGCAGCTCCTGCCAGCTAGAAAAGTAATTGCAAGCTATACGCTTCAAAACAGGGTGAAACACTAGTATTTTTGGTTGACACACTATTTGGAGCAGACCCAAAATCACTGAGCTGTGAACGGTTGTCTTTGTGGGGTCTAAAGTGGCAGCAGGCAAACACAGAGTAATGAAAAGGAGTCTAGAAGGCAGGTGGGATTTAAAGTTAATCTTTGCTAATCTAGAATCAAAATGGTGCACTCATCTTTAAAATATGGGGTTTATTTTGTACTATTAATGTATTTATACCCAGCTGTATTTTCTGAAGCATGTCATCAATTTTAAAAATATATGTTATCTGTATTTTTGTTTTGATTTTTTTTATTCAGTCTGTCAGGTGAACATACATTTCCTTAACATCAGTTAAACAAAATAATATAATTCTCTTCTCAAAAGAGCTTGTATCTGAACATTAGTAGGAACATTGGTAATTGTATAATAAAGTTCTTATTATATTATGTTCGAACTTTTGCTCCTAGCCTGAGTTTGGATTTTTTGCTATGGTAACTATCTAATCTGATTTTACTTAATTAA